CACCGCATAATTTACAATTGAAGGTTGGACCTCCGGTTATTTTGCTTCGTAATTTGAACCTACCACGTTTGTGAAACGTGGTTAGTCATTAAAAAAGTAATGAAAAATGTTATCGAAGCCATAATTTTAAATGGCAAATTCTGAGATGAAAAATATATTATTACCGCGAATCCCTATTATACCCACAGATGTGCCAATACAATTTAAACGCCTTAAATTTCCAATTAGATTGGCATTTACAATGACTATAAATAAGTTTCAAGGCCAAAAGATGTCTGTTTGTGGCTTAGATTTGATCACATCATGTTTTTCACACGGATAATTAGACGCAGCGTGCTCTCGAACCATCTGGTTTGTTTGTGTTGGTGAAAGATGGGATAAAAAAAAAATATTGTACACTCTGTTGCATTAAGGGATTAATATTATTTTTTAATAATATTGTCATAATTAACGATATATATAATTTTAAAGGATCATTTTGAATAAAGAATTAAAAAAAATAAATGTTTGATGTTTTTTTCATTTTTGTATTTCGTCACTGTTCACAACACTCCATATCTTTTCCACTTATATACCACATCCTTACACACTTATATTAAATAAGTTATGTTTTCTAGCAAAATATTCTCTAAAAATAATTTATATGTCAAAACAACGTTTTTCGGTTCAGCTAGTATATTATATATATTAAATGAAAATATTTTGGTTGACTTTTATTATATTTGGTGGGGACAATTTAATTAAGAAATGATTACCGAATAAAAAATTGTAGTATTTGTTAAAATAATTTATTTTCTCTACTTAAATGTTTTATTTTTCCATGAATATAAATACATTACACAATTATTGTTTTACAATTACATACCTTAAGTTTTGTAGAAATGATATACAAAAGAAAAATTTTGATTTTTTGAAATTCAAAAAAATCATTTTTGGCCAACTATTTTCATTTCGGACCACTGTGCGATGGATCGTGCACATCAGGATGGGAAACGGCTTATTCGACCACGATAAGTGGACATGATGGACGGCGGGTGCACGGGGCCGACGACGGTCACGCAAATGCCCAGAGGGCGCGCACACCTCACGGACAGTGGCGTAGCTATCATAGGGCAAAAGAGGGGCAGTTCCTCGGAGCTCCTGAGCACAGGGGGTACCTTAGACATTTCTAAAACTATACTTCTCTAAAATCATTGACAATGTTGATGGTATTTTAATAATAACTTTCCAAATCGTACGTGGTAGTTCCAGTAACAATCAGTATTGAAGTAGAATATTAATAGTACATGCAACATTCGTCTATTTTTAATTAATTTATTTATCATTTCGTATTAAATAAGTATTTACATAAAAAAAAAAAAAATACAATATAATGTTTATACCTTGAATTTGCATGTAAAGATAATATCACTTTGGTAGCCTAGTAGGTAGATACGGCACCGGGGTCCTTTTATGTGAGGCTACACCACTACTTACGGACGAGCCGTGTGCATCGCGGATCGGTGGTTTGTCAGAAATCCAAATCTGCTATTGATACTTTGAATAAACTATCC